TGGCTCCCTTGGATGAAGTGGAGGACGACCACAAGACTTCGGCGCAGAAAAGAGCATCGGCGAGCTCAGGTGGCTCCAGCAAGAAGGCTCAGAAGAAGTGATGTTTCGGCATCCGTATGCAGTCCAGTGTGCTGCTATACCAGCAGCAGCCATTGCTTGAGCTTGCAGTATCTGAAAGATTCCATTGTATGTATATGTGAGGTCTGTTTCTAATGCATTGCGGAGAAGGATATGTACAATTGTTGCAGGTTGCAAGCATCCGAGGGGCATGGTTTTTATAGAGCGACCATTCATAGAGTGTTCTGTGCAGCTGCATGGTGCGAGGATCCCTCAGGTGTGCGAGCTTGTGCTTTGCGGATGGAAATGCAGTGCAGCTTTATATGCTTCTGTGTGCAAGTGCAGGATGCATCGCCCGTGATGAAGTGCAGGTGCATTGTTGAAGTTGCTGCTTGCATGGATGTGTCGTTTTCGCCTAGGCAGGGCATGTGTGCTCGCCGGCAGAAAACAGCTCCAGACTCGCATCAAACCATTTCCCCCGTGCATCGCATCATCATGGCTTGCTTCGAGATTGTGACGAAACAGGTTGTCGTGCTGGGTGACCGAAGCTGGATGCCAACCCAAAAGAGCGTCGACGACCGGGTGTTCTGTGCTGTCTCGAAATGGTCCCCGCAGCTTGTGAAAATGATCACAGGCAAACGACTGGACTTGCGGTCCGGCCAAGGGGAATCATCGGGGTCGCTGAACATAAAGCTCTTTGACGATTTGATCGAGAAGAGGCAGGCTGCTTGCGACAAGCTGCTGGAAGAGGCCCTGAGGGACGATGAAGCCGACGACGAGCCCAAGAAGAAGAAAAGCAAGAAGGATAAGGTGAAGGCTTTGGCCAAGCACGTGCACCTGTTGCCGGCGATCGTCGACATTACGATCGATGGCTTTCAGCTGTCGATCCTCAGCGAGGGCCTGTCTACCGGGAGCATCTTCGTGGAGATGCTCTCCGAAAATTTCAATTGGCTCATGGAGCAGGCGAATCGACAAATGCCTGTCGATCGGAAGAAAAGAAGGCACAGCTCCCGGGACAAGACCGATGCCAGCGAGGATTCCGACAAGGAGGCCAAGGTTCCAGCGGCGAAAGCCAAGGGCAAGGCCAAGGCAAAAGCTAAGAGCCCGGCCCTGAAGAGCATCCTGAATGGCTCCCCGGCCAAGAACCCGGCCCCGAAGGGCATCGTTGGCTCCCCGGCCAAGGCCAAGAAGTGATTCTGCATGCAGTCTCGCATGTATCTTCCGTGCATCCATGCAATGTGTATACTTGATGTATAGTATGTATCAACACACCGTGAAAAAGAAAAAAAAAATATATATATATATATATATATACATATGTATATATTACTGTCAATGATGCAAACTCAGAACGGCTCCACACTTTGATTGCCCGATGCTGTCTTTGGACAGACGACATCGACCGAAGCTCTCTGAACATTGGTGTCGTGTTTCTGCATGCACATTTGCCCTTGTTGCAGTGGGTGCCACGTCTGCGCCATGCTTGCTTTTTCAGCTCTTTTGGCTTGTGAAGCTGCCGTGGTTTTTGGGAGTGATGATGTCCTTTAGCTTCTTGTCGCGAAGCCTTCCCTCCGCTGTGGAGGTGGGGCCCCTGTACAACCACATGCACACACATGCCACCGCCCCAAAAATAACCGGCCGATGTGGTGGAGCGGCTGCAGCTCCACATGGACTTCTCGAAGTCCGGGAGGGGGAAATACAAGAATGATGAAGGCCGGTGCCCCCATGCAAGTGATATGGATATATAGCCTTTCATTTGGTTGCAATTGTTTTGCAGGCACCACGATTTCCTGGTCGGCCAAGATGGGGTGGAAGATCCTGTCTGTTGGAGGCTGCAGTTATATATAGTGTCTGCATGGAATCAAGTGAATTGGCTCGTGCACTCGTGCAGGTGACATGTACTTCAAGCACCCAGACGTGCAGGCCATGAACGTGCCTGCCAGCCCTGGTCCTAGGTGTTTTCTTAATTTGGGTAGAAGAAAACCGTTGTCGCCTAAGGCGGGTGGCTCTACTGGAACGACGATGTGGGAGACTTTAAAGCTTCTGTGATATGCCTGGAAGGCCGGGTATTTGAAGCTCAAGGAGTCCATATGTATATATCCATGTAGTTGCAGCATGCAGGCCACGAGGAGTCGGACACCGTGGAGGTGGACGTCGAGGATCCAGCGGCCGAGCCCAGCATGCCCGACATGTCTTTTTTCCATTTTCTTTTGCATGCTGCTCCATCGTACATATCTAGTGTGCCTGCTCGCCAGTTGTGCTGAAGCCGGCGAACAGCAAGAAGCAGCGCCCAGCGGAGCCGAAGGCGGAATTTCTTCGTAAGGCGATATAATGTACTTCTTGTTTGATTGCAGGAGCCGCCTCCGAAGAGGTACATGGACCCCGTGCCAAAGACCAAGGACAGCAAGCATATAGCTGTTCACTGTGTATATAATGCATGCTGCATCTGTGGCAGGCTTTGCCCGCGAACTGGGACGAAGGACTTCTTGTGGTTGTCTGGAGCCAGGCTTCTTTGCAAGTGTTTGTTGTCTGGATTGAGGAGATCTGATGCCGGACTCGAAGGGCAAAGGGCAGTACGTGAAGCCCAAGGCTTTTTCTTTGGGTCTGGCACGCACGACTGCACTTGTCTCTATACTGATGCAGTCTTCTTGGGCAGGTCGCTTTCATCGACGAGCACGGCCAGGCTTGCCTTGGTCTTTGTGATGGTGCTTCAGGTTTGCCTCTGCTTGCTGCTGGCCCCGTTGCAGGAGTGGGCGGCGGGCATGGGGAGAAAGAGGGCCCGGACACGTGGTGGCCAAGGTGTCCGGGCACTCCAGGCCCAAGGGGCACTCGAGGAATCGAGAAGCCACATGGAGGACCCTTGCTGCTTGCCAATCCACGAGAACAGCAAAGCTGAAGACACCGCGAGCCCCGACATGCAGGACTTGCGGGCCTCCCTCCACACCATGGGGGTCATGGCCGAGACGATGAACCTGCAAGAAAAGCGAGTCCGTTGAGGCCTGTGCTGTGACCGAGGAGCCTTTCTGTCCTGATGGTGTTGAAACTTATAATGCCTGGCAGGATCCCATGGTTCCCGCCTGGCACCCCTGGTTTGTGGCCTGGAGACCAGGGGAGCCGCTAATAGTTGGAAGCTCAGACCGCCTGTGTTGCTCTATATACGGCCTGGCCTGCTTGCTTGGATCCCAAGGTCCTGAATGCTGTGAGCAGCGAAGGACCTGAAATTGGGGGCATTTTCCGGCTCGCCGCTTCGGGCACAGAGGGTCAGGGCTACCAGTCCCGATGGCCGGGGTTTATGCATGCATAAAGCCCCTTAAGCAAAATAGACCGGAACTTTATGCATGCATATGGCTGGGTTCAGTTTCCTAGGGCGGGGCTTATGCATGCATAAACCTCGGCAGGGCCAAGGGCACAAACCTTTATGCATACATAAAGGTTTCGGGTTTTTGGGGTCAGGCCCCTTATGCATGCATAAAGGGTTGCTTTCCCAGTGCCCTCGTGGTTCCCTGTCCTCTGGCCTCTCTAGGCAATAACTAGGGACACTATATAGGTAAGAAATAGCTTTGGGCTGCAGAAGACGAATCGGCGAGGGGGCTATCTCCCCCTGTGTAGCCGAGGCTTCGGGCTACCGGGGCCTCGTCCTGTGACTGTTTCACGACCACAGACCATATGGGCCAGTTTGAAGAAAAACCGCCCATCCTCCGAGTGTGCACCGTTTGGTCAGGCCCATGAGGCACACAGACCCCCATGGCAACATGTGTGTGTGTGTGTGTGTGTGTGTGTGTGTGTGTTTGTGTCTGCGACAAAGAGCAACAAACGAGGAGAGGGAGAGAGGGAGACAGAGACAGAGAACGAGTGAGCGAGGGAAGGTACAAGGGGGTTGGAGGGAGGGGGGGTTGGCTGTGAAGGAAGAGACTGCTACATAGCAAAGTGGCTGCATGGATTTCACTGAAGTACATATACATACACAGTTTTACACACTCTGCATATATACGTATTACATGTGAGATGTGTATCTACCCCACACACACATACATATATATATATGTACATGTATATATACACGATATGTATATATATATATATATATACATATACAGATACCAAAACATATCGTTCATATATTCTTATATACACATATATATACATACATATATGTGTATATATATATATGTGTATACGAAATGGACTGAATCTGTGAACTTACATACACATATATTACACACTTGCATGCCTGCAGGTGTCTTTATACTGTAGTAACATGGCTGTGCTCTTGAGGGTGTATACGGGTTCTGCTGGCGAGCTCAGAGCCCTGCCTGCGAAAACCGAGACCCCTTTGGTGAAGAAGTCTTCCGGTCTGTGACTGCATGCAATGTGAAAGACGTCTCCAGTGGCAGGCTGCATGCTTGTGTGTTGCAAGGCACATGCACTCCATCATCTGCCTGCTGCCCGCTGCTGCTCTATAGACAGGTGTTCGCAAGCAGGGCTACAGCAGCTCGCTTTGTGCAGAGCATCTGTGCTATATCCGGCCGTGCCATGGCAGCTGCTTTCCTTCGACAGCTGAACCAGCTCCTCCAGACCCAGCAGCCCATCATGGGAGATCAATGGACTTCTCTCTTGGCTGCTCAGAGCGAGGCCGCCATCAGAACGATTCGTCAAAGCCACATCACAGTCGAGGAGGGTGCAGAGATCTGCAGCTTGGTGCAGCAGGGCCTTTGGTCACACGAGCAGAAGCAGGCCCTGGGTGCAGCCGTCTCCCAGACCTGGGCAGGCAGCACTCCAGCAAATGCCAAGGCCAAGAAGAAGAACCAGGAAATTCTCAACTTCTGGGGTTTCTTGGGCGCCGAGGACCGGAGAGTTTTGTCCAGCGACGACACCCTCGTCATGAGGCTGACTCACACTGCTCAGATAATGGCTCGACTGGAGATGTTCTGGCCATCAGAACAGTCTGTGGGACACATCATCAAGACCCTGCAGAGTTGCAACAATACTGGCTTGCAGAGCCCCGACGAGTTCCATTCGGCTGTCGTGTGCCTCAAGAAGAAGGTGAAGACCATGCTCAAAGATGCTTCCTGTGGCGAGTTCGTCGCCAAGTACACTCGGCCTGAGGATCTTCCACCACACACCCGAGATCGCTTCGCAGATGCCTTGGGAGGTGAGCTGCCTGGAACAATGGTGCTGGCCCGTGATGCTCTTCGTGGCAGTAACAAAAGCCTCTCTTTCCACAAGAGCAACACTGCCATGGTGCTGGGTGGTCCAGCAGCAGGCCCGGCAATGCACATGCCCCACACCATGCAGGGTATGATGCAGTTCTGGGGCAGCATGGCAGCTAACATGTTCAACCAGCAGCAGCAAATGGCGAAGAAGAACGATGGATTGCCTGGGTTGAAAATCTTCGGCGACCCAGCTGCTGCCGCCTCGTCTGGGACGATGGCCTCCTCGCCTGCTCAACAGCAGGCCTTGCAGCTTCCTACAGTTACCAATGAACCGGCACAGGGCAGCGGAAAAAAGCAGGCCGAGCAACAGGGAGTGCTGGCCAGCAAGGATCCTGTCAGTGCTGCACAACATGCAGATGAAATGCTTCAAGCTTGGAAGGGCGACAACAAAGGGTTCGACAGCACCGTCGAGGCCGAGGCCAAGGAAAACGAGGCGAAGCACAAGGCAAATAAGAAGCCCAAGGCTGCAGCCAAGGCCAAGGGTAAAGCCAAGGCCAAGGCTAAGGCGAAGGCCAAGTGCACGGCCATGAAGTCCCAGCCCAAAGCAAAGTCGCAGCCCAAGGCGAAGGCCAAGGCTGCTTGCAAGGCGAAGGCGAAGTCGCAGCCGAAGAAGGTCCAGAAGGCTTTGAAGAAGTTCACTCGAGAAGAGGTCCGATGCATGACTTTGTCGGCTCGCATCAAGCTGCGACCCAATGGGTGTGGCAAGTGCCGGAACAGGCCCGGCTGCACACCGTCGTGCTTTGGCCCGTGATTGCATCAACAGCTGCTGAAAGCATGCACAGCTGGAGTCCTATATAGGGTGAGAGTTTGGAGGCTACAGGCAGAGTGTATACATCTTAAGTCTATATGCATGTTGACGTGTTTTGGTGTCTTCCAGCATCAGCAAAGTTTTGTTCGCGAGCCTCCAGGAAGCATGCACCTTATTATTCATCTTTCACAAAGGCTGTGTGTACATTAAAGGCATTGTACCTCGGGAGGTATAATGTTGGGAGCATCGCTTGCCACGGAGGGAAAGACCGAAGCGATCCTGGCAGGTGTCAAAAGCGGTGGTGCAGGATGCCTGCACGATCCGGGTTTTTGTTTCGTGGCATATTATATATGTGTTATATACATATATATATAGATATACTTTACATATGGGATGTATATGTATATATATATATATATATATATATATAGGAGCCTATATATACTTTATATATATATATATATGGGTTGAATATATATTGATATATATATATATATATATATATACACACACATATATTATACAGGGGTGTCCTTTTAGGAGGGTGCGAATGTGGACCCTTCTTCGAGAGCTATGTTGAAGCTTTCGAGTTGTACATGTATATATTATATATGGCTTTGCGATTTTTTAAGATGTGTCTCAGGATCACGTTTGGTGTTAGGTTAGGTTTGGTGTGGTATATACTATATATATAACTGTATATACATGTATATATATGTGTACAAATCAATACTCGGATGCTATATATCTATAGCTTTCGGGTTTCTGTGTATACATATATATATATATCAAATATTTAGTTTCGGGTTTATGGTTAAAGGTTGTCTTGGCCTTGCACTGGAGTTTCCCGGACTGCTCGCAGTGGGGTTGCACCGTTGCAGCAATATGCTTGGAAACCTGCAGGAACAAAGAGCATGCATATATACATGTAAACAAAACATATCTCTGTATATATATATATAGATATATAAGGTACGTACACAGTGCCTGCATGCTCCCATCCACTTTTCCTATATATAGTATACCTTTTATACAGATATACATATATATATATATATGTATGAATCTGCAGTCAAAGTAGTGGGTCGCTCGGCAGGGCCAAGAGCTCGCCAGCAGACCCCATGGCTTCCGCCGGGAGCTCCTCGCTCTCCTGCTTGGGAAGGAAATCATATGTATCCCAGCGAGGTCTCAGTCAGGTCTTGCAGGAACTCAAAGAGCTGCCCGAGTTGCCATCTGGGACGAGTCGCCGAACACTGAAGCGGGCCCGGGATGAGAAGACTCGGAGCTACCAAACTGCTTATGGCGAGATCCTATGCGACTTCAAGTGTGTTGCCGAAACTGGTGTGGAGTTTGAATTTCCTGTCTTGAACCCAGCTGCAATGCTTGCCTGGGCGACAGAGCGATGTCGACCATTTGGCGAGTTCCTGGAGAGGGCCATGGATGCCACACCCCCCAGCATTCTTCAACCATGGGGATTGGTGTGGTATTCCGACGAGCTGGCTCCGGGCAACCAACTCAAGCACTCCAACCGGAGAAAGGTCCAGGCCGTATATTGGAGCCTGCTCCCTTTGGGACAGCATGCAATGGGTTGCGAAAATTGCTGGTTCACTCTCTGTGCCATTCGCAGCTCTCTGGTCGCAGATCTCGGCGGCATGACTGTGCTCTTCAGGCAGCTAGCAGCCTTGTTCTTTGAGAGACCTGACTTCAGAAAAGGTCTTGTGTTGCAGTGCCCTGGACAAGCACGTATGCTCTTTGCCGACTTGAAGATCATCATATCCGACGAAGCTGCAATTAAGGCTACCCTTTTCAATAAAGGAGCCAGTGGGCTCATATTCTGTGTTCAATGCCAAAACGCCGTGGACCACAAAAGCAGCATTGCTGAAAGGAGTCGGGGCAATATGGTGTCCGGCCTGGAAACCGACATGAGTTGCTTTCGGATGCACACACCCGAGTCTATACGAGACACCATGGACTTCTTGCGAAGGCAAGAGACGGTCCTCAACAAAGACAGATTCCTGCAACTCCAAACAGCAATGGGGTTCAATTTCAAAGAGGATGGATTGCTGGCACATGCAGCATACGGGCCTCCGGTCATCGAGTGTGTGATGTTCGATTACTTCCATGTCTATTTAGTCAATGGCATCTTCAATGTTCTGACAGGGTTTTTTCTTGGAGAGCTTCACAACCATGGCTGGAAGCACAATGACATTGATCGCTTCGCAAATGGTTTTACCTGGCCTTCTCGTTTGCGAGGTGCTGCTGCAAAGGATATCTTGCAGAAGCGAAAGCCAAGCGAAACCTTGAAGTGTGGAGCCAGCGAGGCTCTGAACTTTATGCAGCTGCTGCGACTCTATGTGCTAGTCTTTGTGCTGCCAAATTGCAGCAGAGATATCCGGGACTCTTGCGAGGTTTGGTTGGCTTTGTGCAAGGTGATTGATGCTTTGCAAGCGATCAATGCCAAACCTTCAGCATTTACCCCCCTGCAGTTGCAGCAGCTCATCAAAAGGCATCTCGATCTGGCGAAAAGTCGGTATGGAGATGAGTGGTGGGTGCCAAAGTGTCACTTGGCAGGCCATTTGGCGCTGCAACTGGCCAAGCATCAGGTCCTCCTCAGCTGCTTTGTGCACGAAAGAAAACATAAAATCATCAAAAAAATTTCGAATGAAATTTTGGATACAAGCAGAACCTTTGAGAGGAGCATCCTACAAGATGTACTCCATGGTCACATGGAAAGTCTGGCAGAGGGTGTATACCTCCCAGGCCAAGGAGTTCGCTTGGTCGACCCTGTGAGACCAGCTCCCGCCAGATTGCAAACAGAGATACACAACACGATCCGGGTCCAGGGTGAAGTCTTCACAGCCAGGCAGGCAGTGCATGGAGGAAACTTCACCGTGGCTGTCGGCGACTTGGCCTTGATGGATCTGGATGGGGTCACTGCCGTAGGCAAAGTGGCTTATCATGTAATGTGCGAGAAAGTTGTATGGTCGCACATTACCTTCTGGACACATGTCCATGGCTGTATGTATGAAGTCTCCGACGATTGTGGCCTCGTGCAAACCCGACTGATCCGGGCCACATGCCCTTACAGCATTTCGGGCAATGCTGCCATTGTCGCAGTCCCGCAGGTGTAAAAAAGAGAACTGCATGCGAGCTTTAAAGCCCTGCATTGCGTCTCTGAGCAGCATGCTTCATGCAACTTAGATCACTTAGCTCACTTATCTTTTTCATATAAATACACTTAGCTAACCAAGTTAACTTCAACATAGCTAAGTTCAATAACTACACTTACACATCTCATATAAGTCATTTGCTAACTGTGCCAAACAATTAACAACCTGCATATACAATTACTAACACCCCCGCCCCTTCAAGCAGTGATGCCGAACCATTGTAGGTGAGGGATGTCCTTTACTTCCACGCCTGGCAGTACACAGAAATCGTATCTGCGACCCAACTGTTTGAGGGCGGCAGCAAATACTGTCACCAGGGTGGTCACCGGGCACGGCTGTAACTGAACCAAAGCACAACTCAAGGCATGATATCCCTGTCCGTGGCTCCCTGGAACGGGCATCGGCGGGGCAATCCCAGTTGTCCAGGTGAAGTGGAAGGCCAACTCCAGATAGGAGACCTGTGCATCTTGGTGAGGTGGCACCGGTTGGTAGGTAGGTAGGTAGAGTTCGACCTGCAGCAGTAGCTGCGGCCTCCGCCACTCTTCCCCGCCCAGCATCTCGGGGGGCCTCCGTAGGCGTCATCGGCCCCCTCCGCGGGAGGTTCCAGAGGGGGATAGTCTAGAGTCTATACTCGGGATGGATACCAAGGTCGTATCTGCTACAGCTGGGGACTGCAGCACGTGGAAGGCCTGGACTGGCCTCGAGAGAAAGGGGGGGACATGAAACCCGCCGGAAGTGGCCCAAGACGGGGGTTTCGGCCCGGAAAGGGGGGTTTGGGCCAGAAGTGGCCCAAGTCTGGGTTTACGGCCCGGAAAGGGGGGTTTGGCCCAGAAGAGGCCCAAGACTGGGTTTTCGACCCGAAAAGGGGGGTTCGGGCCAGAAGAGGAGGGGAGGGGCGACATACAGTGGGAACCGGAGAAGGCGGGCGAGGAAAACGAAAACAAACAAAAAACAAAAAAAAAAAAAGGCGGGAGAGGCCGAAGGCCACTAAAGCATGCAGAGAACAGAGGCGAGGGCCACTCTTTTTACACCGGGAGCGGCACAAGGAAGTCTCGCTGCAGGGTGGCGAGGCCCTCCGCACGGAGTGCTTGTGAGGCTAAGAGGAGCAGGCGTTGCAAGGTGTCTTCCGGCGTGTCAGCCGGGCAGCGGGCAGACGTCAAACTCTGGACAGGGGGTGTTTAGCTAACGGGAAACCTGGTTTGCAGCAGGACGCGGAGGACAGGTCGGGCGCGAGGGAACTGGGAAGCAGGAGGGAAGACCTGCGCGGAGTATGGAGCACGGGAAGTTGCGGGAGTAACATATGGTAAGAGATTTTGGGCAGACGCAGGGGCCCAGCTTGATGAAGCGGGCGGGGGCTGAGAACCGCGCCACGGGGGGCGTCCAGACCCCCGGTTTCAGAGCGGGAAGAGAGTCTGGAGCGACATGTGGAGCCCTGCATTGCAAACAGATGTAAGATCGGGGCTGCTGCACGGGGGTCGTACTTTCATACCCCCGAACTCGGAGCGCGGCTGCCGCAATACGAGGGTCGGCTACCCGAACCCAACATCTCGGAGCGAGGCGCGGGGTCGGGAACGACGTGCACGAGGGGCGCTACGTAACGCGAGACGAAAGAAGCGGAGCTATACGGCCCTACATGGGACTTCTAGGAGCCCTGTGGGGTGAACGCTTGCGTCGCCCACGTGTCCGCAAGGGCGGCCACATCTGCCCTGGACAAGGTTGGGAAAGGGGATAGGGGAGCCTGCGGCCGGAAAAATGGCACTGCGAGGAAAGGGCGGGGTCCAGTGTGGGCTGATGAACCTCGTGAGCCAACCGCGTCAAGAGAAAAAAAAAAAA